TATGTATATATATATATATATGTATGTATATATATATACATACATATATATATATATATAATATATATATATATGTATGTATATATATATATATATATATTACTGTAATGATAAAATATTAAGGATATATTAGATGATTATATATTCATATATATATTACTGATTCAGATAAACTACTATCAATCATGATTAGGAGTAATTAAGAACAATGTCACATGTGATATGGAAGGTAATATCTTCTACATTTTTAAACTTCAAAAGGATATACATATACACGAGGAAGGAAAAAGCAAAAGAAAAATCAAAAGAGGAATCCTTGTCTCCTTCAAATTCATCTGTTGGAAAATATTTCATGTCAAGATGTACCATTCAAAAAATACTGCACCAAACTGTTGGTGGAGATAAGCTTGTTTGGGGGTCAAAAGGCTCGCATCACCGCATGATAAATTCCATGTTCATCTATCTCATAGAGATGTGGGTGAAATGCAACTTGGCTCACAAAGACATCATCTCTCAAAGATGTATATATATTATCTACATAATATTAAGTTACACAAATGATAGGACCAAAGAATGTCACCACCACTCCATTAGCTTAAAAATATGTAAACTACCACCTGTCATTGTCATTTAGTCCACCACAAGTACATACATATCCTTCTATCAAATTTCCAACCCCTAATTCCAAGATAAATGATCAATTATTCACATCAGCTACATATTGATCTTAGTGTTCATGAGAATATTGAGATGCCAACAATCCTGAAGTTTCATTCAACAAAACCAACAAAGGAAACTGAAGGACCATGAGATTCAAATGACTTCAGTCATCTCAGCCACACAACTTCTCTAAAAAGCAGAGATTTACCTCAGGAATTAGCAAATAACACATTAAGAAATTCTTTATGCTCAGGTTCCTGGTGATCTCTCAGCTTTACCAGATGGTCAAATATGAAAAGTTTTATCTCGATGCCAGCGAATCACCAACAAGAGGTATCGAAGCAAATAAGCTTAAGCACAAGAACCATCATCTCCAGAGCATCTTTTATAGTAACAACAGGCGAACATAGAACCCTGAATTCTAGAGGGAAACACTTTACATGACAACAGAGCAGACAATAGACATAAATAGTGGCGATAGATAGTAACATAAATCAAAGGTTCATTAGAACCCTGAATTCTAGAGAGAAACACTTTACATGGCAACAGAGCAGGCAATAGACATAACTAGTGGCGATAGATAGTAGCATAAATCAAAGGTTCATTAGATCATCCTAGCGGACAACCCTGGTTCAACATATCCTTCGTCGACACAGGTTCTTGGAACGTGGAGAAAAGTAACATGTACTTCAAACGATAGATAAACAAGAATGACAGCACGATAAATAGTTGAAATTCCAAATGACGATCGTACCTTGTTTACAGAAGACAATTAGCCATAATTCAAGGTCCCTCGGTATATGCTGCCTGCAATTAGCGGCAGGTCATTGAAGCTCCACAGGTCCACACCACTTTCCTCCTGAATCACATCATAATTGAGGAAGCTATCGATCGAATCATCTGTGCTGGCCTCCAGAGAAGGTATGTGCAGAAACTTCATGAATGAATCGAAAGTAGAAAATTCTTCAGATAGTTCGACAGCATCGTTCTCCTCGGTAGGCACTGCCTCTCCTGCATTGTTCTTGAGTTTCTTCGGTGGACCACCATCTTCTAGGCATGCGAAATTTTCAGATTCAGTTATGGTTGGCTCAAGAATTGTTGTGATGGCTGCAGTTTTAAACTCATGTTCCCAACCATGTTCAGAATAACCTAAAATGTTACTTCCCTGATCAAAGAACATATTGATCCCAGGTTCTTCAGTAGGCACAGCTGGTTTTATCTCGGTGAAGGAATTTGGATTCATACATTCCTTGATGGCCACCTTTTCGTCGAACAAATCAATATCTGGGTGGAAATCTTGATTGGTGTCATTCAGGTAAGTGAAAGAATGGTTAGAGTTGAAGGTATCTCTTGGGTTTGAGTTTGGTGCTTCTGCTGCAGTTAGTCTCACAAGGCACTTTTGAGGAATTGGTGCCTCATCAGGGAAGTTCACCTTGGCTTTCTTGCCACGGATCCTACGGGCTTCTGCATCATAAGCTCTTGCAGCTTCTTCAGCAGTGTTGAATGTCCCGAGCCAGACGCGTACACCCTTGCGAGGATCTCTAATTTCAGCTGCCCATTTCCCCCAAGGACGCTGACGGATTCCTCTATACTGGTTCTTTCTCTTCCTCTTAGCACACCTCATTGCAGGTCCATCAAATCCTACAGGTTTGAAAGTCATTTCTCCATCTGAAACAAAAAGAAGGCTTACGGGCTAATGAAAAATTGAAAGCTCAATCTTTTACCATATGAATATCTTTTATTGCCTTGGTATCCTTTTCCAATTAAACTTCAAGTCAACAAAAGAAATGAAAACACAAACTTAGAGGAAAAGAGAAAGCCAATAAGAACTTGCGGAAGAATAGAACATTACAGTTGTCCTTGATCTTGTCTCACTCACGGTTGACAAAATCTACGAACCATGAGCCCAACACTTCGAGTGCGAACATTAACTAACCAATGAATACTTGGTGTATCATCACAGACATCCAAGTTTTCTTTTCCCAAAGTAAAAAAAAACATTTAACTAATTGAATCATTCCCAGAATATATATAGAACTTCATTTCCAAGCAAAAACGACAGGACACAAAGGAAAAACCCCACAGCACAAAAGGTGGTAGTAATATGGTTCGAGGAATAACAAGATCAGGATGATGCAAGACCAGCACTGATGAAAATAATACTATCAAGAAAAATAATCACACAGGGATCCTTAGAAGCAACAAGTAAGGTGGGCAGAAGAACAAATCAAGAACTAGGCCAACGAAAAAACCAGAAAGTGTGTGTGTGCACATACTGTACGGCAAAAGAAAAAAAGAATTATATTTCTATTAAAAGAGAAGCCTTAATATCAACTTTGTATGAATTCATAATTCAACCAGCTTGGTCCAAGGACACTGAAGTAGAGTTGGAAAAAACCATTAACTAAAACAGATGGTGAGGGTGAAAATTTCAACTTTCTTCATGTTCCAAAAAGAAAAGGAAAAAAAAGAGTAATAACCAAGGATTAATACCAGTAGATGAAGAAAAGGCAACCTTGAACAAAATGCAACAAAAAAGTAGATCAAGTCACAGCTCCATTTCCCGGGGAAAAAACTTTCTCATATCAAATCCGCAGGAAGAATGAAAAGATAACTACAGTAAACATCCGATTTTTATCATCTGAGTGCACCAAAAATCTTGTTTTTGTCATCAAAATGTGACAAAAATTCGATTTTTTATCATGCTAACAAATAAAAAAAAGATAGGAACACAATTTCTCTCTAGAACAGAGCGACCTTTGGGAGGGAAAGCAGAGAACTGAACGTCGACGAGCTCGGCCTCGTCATTTTCCTCCGACTCGCCTGACTCGTTGTCGAACTCCTGGAAGTCGGCCTCGAAGTCGTCCTCCGTCTCCTCCACGGCGCAGCGACGGCTGCCCCTCTTCTTCTTCGACCCACCCTTCTTCAGATTCGGCCACAGAAGGTCGGCGTCGGTGACCCGCCGCGACCTGGCTGTCGGAATGAAGTCGGAGACGATCGCTCCTCCGCACATCCTCGATTCTTTCTCGTTGAGAACACCCCAAGCAGCAGTTGTAGCAGCCAAAAGGCTCCGTTATAAAGAGAGAGGAAATGGGAGAAAAAGAACAGGTCTCCATTATTTACCTGCTCTACAATTCGAGACAGACTTGGGACCCACCAGACTAACATTGATTTCGCAATCAGATTCTCAGGTATGGGTAGGTAACAAAATATTCTTGAGAAAAAAATAATAGGCAAGTAGTATATTGAAGGATTTTTCTTGTTTGCAATAATCTATTTTATTTTTGTAAAGAAAAGAAATATTAATGTCATGATATGAAAAGAAATATTAATGTCATGATATGAAAAGAATAATAATAAAATAAATTAAAATACGTGAAAAGATAAGGAGACATCAAGAAGTATATTAAAAAAATTAATTTTTGAAAAAAATATTTAACTCGTAACTTTTCTTATAAACATCCTAATTTAGAAAATTCTAATAGAATGCTTTTGACTAGATGAAAAAGTTAATTTTTGCCTTGTAAATTTAAAGAAATTTTACCATAATCCCATACGACTATACCGGGCGACTCAATCAACTCCCACATATCTCATCGTGTTCGATGGTGGCTTTAACATAAAGATAAAGATAATGAAGAGAGGTAATAGAGACGATCGATGAGGCTAGCTCGTGTAGGAGGCATAGGTGATAAGAGGAAAGGAGTGGGGTGGTTGGCGTTGCTAAGCCACATGTAGAGGCATAGGCGACCAAAGGGGCAATTAGCATTGTCTATTAACACACTCACGATCAATCACGACGAACGAGTAAGGTTGCCTAAGACACTACGAGTGGGGGGGGGGGATGAGCAGACGATGAGGTGGAGGTGTTGGTGGAGGCATGATGGAGGATGATGAGTGATAGGGGTAAAATAATCATTTAAAAAAAATACTATGAAAAAAATAATTAAGTGCTAATGAAAAAGTTTTTTTAAACTTGGGTGCTAATTAAAATAAAGTTTTTTTAAACTTTATCCATTAAAAAACCACATTTAAAAAAAGTGAGTTTAAGAGTTTGAGAAGCTTAAATTTTCAGATAATGGTAAAAAATAATTGAGCACTCCAAAAAAGATGTCGGCATGAGAATCTAACGAGAAAAGTGTATGTCACGCAAAATTACTTGTGGACCCTCCTAATAGTCCGAAACTACATTTATGCCATTTCTTAGTCTCAAGTGGAGGATTAGGGTTGCATGTGAGATTAAAGTTTGGGTTAATATATTTAGTAGGATTTGGGTTAATTCATTATGGAATGTATCATCAAACTAAAACATTCTTTATAATTCAAGTTATCAAAGCGAGTTGATTAAAAATCTAAGAGATTTAACATAGACTTGTACTGATTGTTATTAACCTATTCTAATCCTTCAATTTATTTCCAAAGAGGTTAACGAGACCTATATATACATATATATGTATATATGTATATATGTATATATATGTATATATGTATATATGTATATATGTATATATGTATATATATAAATAAACAAATTACAATTAGCGTTACAAGTAGAAGAAGACATGAGGATACCTTACTAAAAACTATCGGTAAATGTTTAAATATTTTTTATTTAATATCTTTTTTTATCAAGATCAATGAGATCTATTATGATTTTATTGTTGTTACTAAGACTCTAATACTTTAAAAGCATCACTAGGAAAACTTAAGACCTCCAATTATGAATTGCACAAAAATAAAGAGAAAAAGAATGATATCATTCTCTTGAAATTGAGGCCAAAAATAATTTACTACATGAGAATATCTATCTTTAATTAGATATGAGATGCTACAACTCTTGTGGTGGGGAATTTAGTTCCCTTGCAACACAAGAGTGGATGCATGAACAAAGGAATCAGAGGTACATAACTGCAGTGTAGTGCACATGTCACCTCTCCCTTAAATGACAGTGTGTTAAGATTAACATAAAGGATAATAAAGATTATTGTGGATGTAAATATGAGAAGGAATAATGGCTAAGTTCTGCCATCTTAATTGAAACAGGAGTTCTACCATCAAACAACAGGAACTGTGAGATAGACAACTTCTTGAACCTCTGCTGTCATCAGAATCAACAGCTATTTCACTGTGATTGAAATGCCATTATTTTCCTAAGTGGACTCCAAAAAGTTCAGTTCATGTTTGTGACACTGACCATTTTGGAGAATGTGGAAGACACACTCCTCCCCCTCGAGATTCTACATCAGCCAAAGATAGATAGAGTTTATTGGCAACCACCTTAATTCCAAAGTAGCAGACTATTTTCTTTTGCTTCTTCAACACAACATCAGTTTTTTCGTTTTTTTTTCCCACCTATTTCCCTATGTTAATTTGAAAATGTGATTTTAACTGAGAAGCCTCCACAAGTGTGCAAGTAGGTTTAATTCTTCCCTCTAATAGCAGATGTCGAATGACATGCTATATCTGATGGTTGATATGGTTTATTTCAATCATTCATAGTCCTTATACGTTAGAAGTTGATATATGTTATCTCAATAATATGTGATTGATATTTGATTTTGTATTAAGAAAAAGTATTTGACCTAATAGAAGGGACAGTGCACACTTAAATAAATAGTAATGATTGGATAACTTAAGTCAACATTTTGTATTTTCAGACTTGATTAATCAGATTCAATATTAAATTAAATTTTCTGAACCCTATTGCTAATTTAAGTATCGGAGAGATTTTGTCGATGATATACTAAAAAAAAATAGAGATTGGATTTGAGTTATCTTCAAGGTTAAATAATCAAAATATGATGTTAATTAGGTTCTTATTGTTAATGGATTATGGATTAATTTTTTTCTTTAGAAACAAAAAATCCTTATACATCTTCAAGTGATGACAGTACAGTATTCCTTGGTGCATGAGTAGGAGTGATGGAGGAGACCAAAATCTAATCTTTGCTTCTGCTCAAATTGAGGCCAGTTGTTACATAGGAATGCATTATTCCATCTCAAGGTCATGCCCTTTGAACAAATCCAAGTTGATCTTGTTTAAAGACTTGTGTCCCCTTGACATATTCTAATTCTTCCTCATGGCTGCCACAGATTTTTAGCAGACCAAAATAAAAGTATGAGCAAGAAGACAATGTTTTGCAAATTATTCCTTCATAAATGGACAGCCATTGTATAGTGAACTATGAGTTGCATCCCCACATATAAAACACCTTTTTAGTCCATTTCACAAAGCTTGAAGCTCAAGGGAAGAAGAAATGAGCATCTGATGTGAGAATGTGCTTGTATGTAGCAAGACTATAATCTCTCTCTCTCTCTCTTCTCTTCTTTTGTTCACCAAACAATTAGACTTTTGTGCATCAAAATTTCTCCTCCATTAGCATTAAGTTTCATGCACATAAATCATGCAATCAGAACTCAGCAGTGGAGTTACAAGAATCCATGGATCGACATCAGAGCCCACAGGTGCTTTCCTTTTTAACATCCTTTCAGTTCATTGAATGAAAAAAAAGGAAAAAAGAAAAAAGAGACATTTCTAAGCAGAAATTTATCCATTATTCAAGGTTAAATAATTAAATAAAAATATAAAACAAAAGTCATGGATAATGTTCTGACTGATAATAAACTAGTATGAGAACCAAATGCACTGCTAGTTGTCTTGCAGTTGTAGAGTGCAGTGCCCAAAAAAGACAAAGAAAAGAAAAGATAGATGATGATGATGATGGAGGAGGAGGACAAAAAAAAGTTAAGCTGACCTCCTCAATCTCATCCACTGCCATATTTTTTTACTTGGCAATGAGAAGTAGTTAATTACCATCTTAATCCACATACAAACAAGTCCATAAGCTGGCATGTTCCACTCATTATCTTCGCTCAACTGTCTAAATCACAAAAGAATTAGCGAGCGATTAGCTTAGCTTGCATGCTACTACAAGCCTGACACACTTCTCTTTTAATCTTCTTTCATAGTGAACTCATCCGATGATGTCGATGGTTAGGAACATTGTGGAGGATATCCTCCACGGTTTACGATTAAGCTGCATCCAATGACGCAGGTGGGACCCACCCTCCCGCCGGAACAGGGCCCCGCTCCGGGGGTGTTTTCGTCATTTACTTGAGTTGCGAATCCAGAAGATAATCCACGCTGCCCGAAATTTACCGACTTGCCACGCTTCACGCGCTTGCTGATATCATCACGCGAGGCGTCGCCTTCTCACGCCGCACGTCGCTTTGATTCGAATCAGACGGCCGGAAATATCCCGCGCGTGCAAACTTACGAAGAGACCCCTAAACCTACGAATAATCCCCATGGGCGACCGGGTCAATCGCCACAGCTCCGCCGAGATCGACGCAACGGCCCCGGCTTTTCCGGAGGCCAAATTACTCATCTACCCTGAAAAATGGGAACATTATCGCCAACAAAGGGCTATTTTAGTAATTTGGTGACCTGAGTTCCACATGGCGGATCGCCTTTTGCTACCCGCAACCCGCTTTCCGCAAAGCCGCGTGCAAAACGGTCGCCATCGAACCCGATAACCAAAGAAACCCATTGGCTTCCCCCGATTTCGTGTGAGTCGCGCACACGGTGCGCTTGTTTGTATGAAAATTAGGTGTATTACGTATTTAGTTCGTTGGTGATTGGTGTAACCTTACCCTTAGATGAGGTGAACGCTGATCTCCCAACACAGGCTCTCTCTCCCTCGCATCTGTTATGGTGAGGTTGCTTGATCTCACCGACGGTACCCAGATCGGAAGCTATTATATAACTCAAGGTAGTCGTGTGTGGGAGACTCACAGCGGGACCTAACGCTACCGAGTTCCCTGTTCACACTACGTCCCTCGGCCTCCTTGGAAATAGCCGGAGCAGTTAGAGCTCTTCGGCTCTCGCTTTGTTTGATCGTCTTCTTTAACTCTCCCAAGCTTGCCCGCTGCTCTCGGCCTTCCTCGCAGACGAATCGAAGCAATCCGTTTGGGCTGGAATTCTCTCCCTTCCCAGGTGAATCACGTGGTTTCCGGCTCTGCTCTGCTTCGATTTCTTGCTCATTTTAGGGTCGTTCGTGTTCAATTCTTGAAGCAA